TGCTAGCGCTCCGAATAATACATTCAATACGGAGCTGTGAGCCGGTGCTGGCGCTAGCCTCATTTGTTCGCATTCATTTATATGACCGCTTTTCAGTGCAATTTATTGACTGTTTGTACTGATATTGACGACAAATTGATTTATATATAATCCTGTTAAATTGTTAATTTAAGTAATTTAAAATGACATATTACCTATTGTTAATGGGAAATATTTTACAATGGAGTACTCTAGATATTGATTTATACTGATACATGTACATGGATGGAATAATTATTCTGATTTATTATGACAAATTGTTATAATGTTTGGAAATGTTTTATAGTGACTTAGTTGTACTAAAAAATTGTATTACTCTCACTGCTGGTCCTGTTTTGCACAGGCCAGGTTCCGAAACTGGACTCTCCGAAACTGGACTCTCCGAAACTGGACTCTCCGAAACTGGACTCTCCGAAACTGGACTCTCCGAAACTGGACTCTCCGAAACTGGACTCTCCGAAACTGGACTCTCCAGAAACTGGATGGCGAGCTAAGGCCTAGAGCCCAAATCAAACTAAGAGTGCAAGCATCTGCCTGTGCGGTAGGAGGCGTAGCAGCCGCTTAACCCACACACACACTCACACACCCACTGCCCCCTGCTGTGGGCATTGGGCTCCTCATAGACTTTGCTGGAAATCACCCACTTACCATAACCATCTCTGGAAATCTTTTTTTTTTTGCCTTTCACATGACCTCCGTGTGGATTACATTAAATTTTGCTGCTGCTCATTAGCAATCGGACTAAGGACTATAACTCATTGAACCCTCCATAGCCTCTGAACTTAATCACATAAATATGCACCCCTGTAAATATTGTATATATTGTCTGTTGTACACTGTAATTAATAATAATATCACAGCTAAGCACTACAATCTTGTGTAAAGTGTCTCATTAAACACCTCACTTCCCTCCGAGCCGAACCCAATCTTCTGATCTAGCCAGTTACCATTACTACTACCACTACTACTACTATACCTCTTTCTGTGGCATTGTATAAGTGCTACATGTATCTCTGAAATAAAGTGCTGGCTACAGTCAAACTTCCTCCAACTCAACTGCGACAAAACATAAATAATCATCTGCCCCAAAACACTCACCAAAACCCACAATAACTTCACCCTTTCCATCAACGGCTCCTCAGTCTCCTCCTCCTCCTCCCACCTCTGTAACCTTGATATCTTAGACCAGACCCCATCTTTTGAACGCCACATCAAACACATCGCCAAAACTGCCTTCTATCACCTCCAGAACATTCCTCATCTCCACCCATCCCTCTCCCCTCAGTCTGTTGAAACCCTCATCCACGCCTTTGTCACCTCCTGCTTTGACTACTGCAATAGCTGCTCTACGGTTCACCCTCCAAACTCCTCAATGGCCTCCAGTACATCCAAAACTCTGCTGCCCGTCTCCTCACCCACACCTCCTCCCGTGAACACATCACCCCTGTCCTTAGAGATCTCCACATCTCCCCGTCCCCCAGAGCATCCAATTCAAACTCCTCACCACTGTGTACAAGTCCCCCCATAATCTGGACCCCACCTGCCTCTTTGAGCTCCTCCACCACCACACCTCCCCCCATGCCCTCCGATCAGCTGATGCCAGCCTCCTGTCTCCCTCCACCAGGACTAAACATAAGACCTGGGGGGACAGGGCCTTTTCTGCTGTTGTCCTCACCCTCTGGAACTCCCTGCCCAAACACATGAGAGACTCATCCACACTCCCCATGTTTCAAAAAGCCCTAAAAACCATCTCTTTAAAACCATCTTTCATTAACTGTCTTATTTCTTTTGTTTGCCTTTGTTTATCCTCTTCATGTAAAGCGTCTTTGAGTATCTTGAAAAGCACTATACAAGTGTTACATATTATGATGATAGTATTATAATAATTATAATAATTATAATAATTATAATTAATTATATTATAAATAATAATATAATATTATTATTATAATTATAATAATTATAATTATAATAATAATAATAATAATATAATTATTATAATAATTATAATTAATATTATAATTATTATAATTATTATATAATAATTATTATATTATTAATATTATAATTATTATTATTATTATAATAATATAATTATAATAATTATTATTATTATATTATTATGTGTCATGCAGAGAATGTCTCCATGAGTCAGAAACATGAGTTTTACACTTTAGCTGCAGAGTCTGAAATAGCTACAAAGAAGGCATTGATCAGTAAAACTTTTAATTGGGTGCATGACCATATAGAAACTGAAGTTATGGAAAAGGGTCAGGTTGTTAAACTTGCTCATCTCACAGCTTTGTATGATGAAAACTTACAGAATTCAGAGAAGCAGCTGTTGCTAAGATCACTAGCCATAACCTGAGACAAAAAAAAATGTCAGACTGGGTGCTTGCATTACCATGTACTGTTTGCGACAGCATTCATGAAACTTGCCTTCTTGGCAAAAAAATCTACTCTTCTGATTTTGCACAGCAGGTCTTCATCACTGAGTTCCATAGATTTTTCTCCATATTTTTGTACGTACTTGATTGGAAGCTATATCTCTTGCCGGACACTTCACTGCGCTACTACTGCAGAATGTGCAATAACTCCTGAACAAAACTGAAGAATCCACATGCTCACGTTTCTGTCACATGGAGACATAAACACTTAGTAAAAAGCACTGACAGGTAAATGTAACAGTATTATAAATGGAGATGTTTAATTAATCATGTAAATCATGTTATTGTTTTATTGCATGTGTTCAATATTTTAAGGGTGGATTCTGTGGTGTTGAATCCCTAGTTGCCAATGGTCTCTGCAGTGTTCGGCTTCCTTAGTACAAGACAAAACTGTAAGTAACATTATTGTAACTGTAGATATTAGTAAGTTTGATGTAAATTTACTATTGTAGGTTGTTAGTCATAGTATTAAAACACTTGAGTTCCAGTAAAATTAAACATGTGGCTCTGGAGGTAACACGTCACCTGCCTGATTCCATAAAAGTTAAAGCCATACATTGGAACATTCTTCATGGAGATAGATGCGTTTTATGCCACACTGTGAATGATTATAGCCAAAGGAACATTCCTATAGAAACAAGCAGGCGCAATCTCATGGTAATCTCATGGTAATGATGCATGTTTTTCTCCAGTGCAAAAAAAAAAAAATGCTTTTTAGTCTGTTTTTTTGCCTGAAAAGTTACATGGTGAGGCATTAACATTCCACAGTATTACTCAATAACATACTGGACAGCAATAGTACGATTGGCTAAGCATTCGTTAGCCACTTGAAGTTATTGGTTGGAATCTTTTTCAGAGCATGCACACTTTGGTATACACCAACCCTGTAAATCCATAATTCTGTCTTTCTTGGTAGCATCTCCTACAGCACTCGGAGAAGGTGCGCTACTTCTTCCAGCAGGATACATTTTATGACATAGTTTTGACATTGGAGACAAGTCCATCCAGTGCAGCCACAAACCAGACGTCTTCAAGATCTGGCTCCTGTGGAAGGGTCTGGGCAGCGCGGATTGGAGCAAAGAGTGGAGCGTGCTCTGGCAATGGTACAGTCAGTGACAACCAACTCAAGCCATATCAAATATTTACAAGTTTGGAAATTGTATAATTATTTATTATTTTATTATTATTATATATTTTTTATTATTTTATTATTATTATTTATTTATTTATTTTTTTCAGATATTTTGCAGATCACGAGAAGAAAAACAAAGGATTTCGTAACATTATGTAATTTTTTTATTTTTTTTTATTTATACTATTTCTTAAACAATTGTGGGCATTACAAAACTATAATATTGTTTTCTTTGTTGTTTTTTCTCCCTAAGCCTGAATATGCCAACATTTGCTTCTGGTACATCCCTCCGAGTCTGAGAAACCTCCCAGACAGCTCTGAACTCTGGACAAAGATCCACAAGGTTAAGTGCAATCTATAGGCAATCCTAGTCTCATTATTTCTCTCAGCCTTGGATGCATCATTCTCAACATTTTGATCAGTTCAGTCCTTGCAATTGTTAAAGTAAACATAAATAATGTGAACTGGAAAAGTTTGTTTTTCCCATTCTAATCACTAATGAATTATTACTGAAGTAATGTAATATCTACGTCATGTATCTAGATCTATGATTTTAGTTCAAATCAATAGAAATTATTCATCAAATTTACAAAGACATTTGGCTGGCTTTTGATTTGTTTCATGATCTTAGGAAAAACATTTTCACCAACAGCTATAGTTGGTTTTGTAAGAATTCAATTCAAATCACCAATGAAAAGTGTAGTATTTTCATGATTATTGATTACAGTTTGTACCTTTTCTCCTCTGTAGGTGGCGCCAGTGATAAAGGAGCGCATGGTGAAAAGCGGCAGTGTGATGCTGGAGTACCACACGCACCAGGACAAACCAAACTTCAAGACGGTCACAGTCAGTCCTCAGGTCAGCTGAGACGTCCTGCACTGTGTCCTGGACGAGATACACCAGCTCGGCCAGAATTTACACATAGACTTTACACATTAGACCTAATATTCATACTTTTTTTCTTAAAGATGCACTGTGTAACTTTTTGGTTTGGGGTCCATGTATGTACATGTATTGAATTCTAGGTGGTTTTATATTTCAAAAATATTAGAAAAACAGGCATTCTGACTGTGAGCGGGGTTGCCTCTCCATAGATCTGACCTGTAACTTGGTCTGGTTTGGTCTCTATGAAGATAGAAAGGTTTAATGCCATACTGTGAAACATTCCAGATAAAGCAACAACATCTACAGGAGAAAAGTATTTAATGGACCCTCCACCAGAAAGGTTATACAATGCAAATTTAAGAAGGTATATTGAATGAGTTTTCAACATTAAAGAATAGCAAAGAATGTTTGCCAAACATATGAATCATTTAATTTGTATTGGAGTGATGGTAGGTGAAGAAATTGGTTTAAAGTTACTACAGTAAAACTTTGCCAAAAACATTGAAATGTCTACTTTTTAATGTTTTGCACTTTTGACATTTCATGCAGTACACACAGTCTCATGTAAGAAGATAGCTATTGAATATACCAGAGTCATTTTATGGACCACACACATTTTAGCTGAATACAAATGAAACTTTATTTAATTTGAAAGAAAATGCCCAGATGTCTTAAGAAACAACTCTACTGTTACTAGAATGCGAATGAATCAACATACTGAAAAACAGACCATAAAATGGCCATAAAGATAAAACATAAAGCCATTTCTTACAAAATACATATAGAAGTAGAACACTATGCAAGTGACATAGTGGTCTTGTTTAAATTATTTGAATGGATATCCTCTACTACTCTACCACTGCCACAGAGTCTGGACTGTTGGAGCTCTTGGTTTGAGGAGAATGATGTGAAGTTATACTTAAAGTATTTGAAAGGAGTGATATATTATAGATATTTAAATATGGCAACAACTATAAACTAATTTTAAAAAGGTTGAAAAGTAAATAGAAGAAAAAAAATACATATTCCATTGATATTGTGAGGGGCATCTACTGGTTTACTGCCGAACAAGGGAAGAGTAGAGGGAGTAATTTTCAGTGATTTAAAAAAAAATCTGTTACTTAGATTAGTTAAACTGTAGGAGTGACAGATGTGAAAAGTAATATCAATCATTTAATCAAAGGAATAAAACTAGACACAGCTGGACGTTTCATCATTCCACCATCAGTAAAATGTGTGAGGCTGAGAAGTCAAGATAAATTAAACTCTTTAAATCGTACAACATTTGGCAGAGAGGCGACAAAACAAGAGCAAGCTGTGCACTCCCTCAATTATGTAAAAGGGTAAAGGGGGGGGGGGGCTGGGCCAATTGTAGATTGAGACGGAGCCCCCACCCATAGTCTCAATCCAGTCATCTCTACCTCGCTTCGTACATTATCAATAAACTTCGCACTATGTCGTTGTTGGCGTGGTCCTAGCTAGTGAAACACATTATAATATCAAACGTATTGATGTGGCTCTAGAGTCGTTACGGTTTATATGTCGTAAAGTTGAATTTATTTATACAGATTAGTAGTGCAGATAGTAGTAATAATAATGATGATCATTTTAATATAAAAACGTTAATGATTAATCGATAATCGATCGTTAATTCTTCCGACGATCGATTAAGAAAATTTCATCGAATGCCCATCCCTAGTTCTAGTAGTAGTAGTTGTTTACAGATCCTGTCCTAAACAATGAATCTCATCCAGCACAAAATCCATATCTTCAGAGGTGACCTGAGGACTTATAATGACCATCCTGAAGAAGTTTGCCTTGTCCCCATGAGGCTGGTACCCGACCATCAGACTGCCTTTCTTTATCATACGCTCCTTTATCACTGGTGCCACCTAGGGAGAAACCCATATTGTTAAAAGAAAGGACCAAATATTTGTGGATTTCACTTTTGGATATTTCTTTTATACACTAAATTTTTTGCACTAAATGCATGCTGTTACTGATTTACACACTGAGTCTGCATAAAGTGTGATTAACCTTTTCCAGTTTAATTTAACTAAGAAACTAAGTAAGTAGTTTTATGTTTAAGTTTAATGTTATCCTCAAAACTATAAAGTCTACCACTATTGAATATTACTTGGATTTTACTTTTATATTATTACCATACTCTTACGTCCATTGAAGATTAACCTTTAGCTTTAACCTTTAACCTTAACTCTTACATACCAAAGTGTTGGCAATGGAAAGATTAAAGTTATAAAATTGGGATGGCACCTGTTGCAATGGGTTTCTAAAATAAGCCTAACTAAATCCTAACTATGCTTTTCAGTGTTTTTCAAAATTGTGTTGCGTTTGTGTTTCTGATGAGCACTGTGATGTGAAATGATCATGATGATTTGCAAAGCCTATATTTTCTTTTTGTGTGGAATACCTTGTGCAACTTGTTCCAAAATTCAGGGCCAACAGGGACATTTCTCAGACTTGGGGGCACATACCAGAAACACACGTTGGTGTATTCGGGCTGTAAAGGAGTTTTTTGGGAAACATTATAGGTTAATCTTATAGTATTATGTACATAATTCAAAGAGCTGAAATACCTCCATGAACAGCTGAAACTCTTGTCGATCTTTGATCTGCTGTGTCAGATAACTGCAGGAAGACACATTACAGATTAAAAAAAAACACACATCCAAAAATCACACTCACACACACAATGTAAAGTCTCTCTGGTTTGTTGGGACAAGAGTACTAGAGCCTGTAATGGAAAAAAAAACACTGCTTCAAACTGAGTAGAGCCTACAGTTAGCATCACCCTCCAGGGAATGTTGATGACATCGGCTGCAAAGTGACAATATGTGTGAGTGTACGTGTGTGCATGTGTGTCACTGACTGTGCCATGGCCAGAGCGCGCTCCACTCTCTGCTCCAGTCGGTTGCTGCCCAGAGCTTTCCACAGGAGCCAGAGCTTGAAGGCATCTGGTTTGCGGCCGCACTGGATGGACTTGTCTCCAGTGTCAAAAGTGACATCATAGAACTTATCCTGCTGGAAGAGGTAGCGCGCTTTGGCGGAGTAACAACGTTCCAGAAGATGCTGAAGACAAATAAAATGCAAATAATGACACAAATTAACCCGTACAATGTGCAGGTATGATGAATCAATGACTCAGCAACTTTTTTTTTTTTTTTTTAACTGGACGTGCTAAACAAAACATTAAAATAAAATAATAGATTTACAAGTGTTCATAAAAATCAATAAAAATAAAACCACTAAAACCGAGAGAATACCTTAAAATGGTAGCTAAAAAACATAAAAAGATAAAAACAGTAAAATGAAGTCCGTGCCAGACTTGGGTCTCGTATCAAAGGTTTCAAAGGTTGTAAAATCTGCACCACGGGATTTGAAGCTGATAACATTAGACCTGTCCTCCAAAAGGTTTACTGAAGTCTGATAATGTTGGGTTAATAATTGTGGAAAGTTTGTGACACTACTCAGTTTAATTCTTGGAAAGTTGCTATCACATTGTGAGTGTGGCTTACCTTTTGGTCTCGAACCACAAAGGCACAGCACTGCAGACAAGCCATCATCATCTTATGTGGGTTCCATGCCACAGAGTTGGCTCTGAACAAGAACAGCATAAGGTAAGGTGGCGTTAGTGAATACGCATTTAAGCATAAACCAGTTCAGCACAGCAGTATGAGTTTGGTTATATATTTACTACAATATTTTATATTTACTACTATATTTTGTAAAAAATACCCCCTTTGTTTCTGCCCAATTCTATTTTACCCATGTAGAGTGTTATGTTAAGTAATCAAACTGTACACCAAACATATCATCCAAAAAAATCATCGTCACAGAATATTTGTCTACATCCATATCACAAAAGACTATATTTTAAATTGTTAATTTCTATGGTAACATTCTTAACTTTTCATAATTTTGAAACCCACGGATAGTGACCCAAGAGAGATGGATAGGTGGTACCTATGGATGCCTTGTAATAAGTGTTTATGCTTCTTAGACAAGATAACAGCTCCTCCCCAACATGCCTGAAGAAGATAGAATAATATAGTAAACATCATAAAAAGAGAATTACTGATGAACAAAAATATATAATGTTATTCTCTCACATCCACATGCAGCCAAAGATCGTATTTCTCACAAATGTCTGCGATCTGTTCAATGGGGTCAAATGCTCCCAGGACAGTGCTGCCTGCAGTGGCATTCACCATAAATGGTTGTGCTCCCTGGAAATATAAATAATAATTTGTATAATATAATAAATAATATTCAGTAGAACTGTAAAACATGTAAAACATTTTTTTTTCAATTTTGACTTTCAAACCTCCTTTTTCGCCTTTAATATCATTTCCTCCAAAGCACCAGGGATCATCTTGCCCCTGGAAACCAAAATAAGTAAGTAATAAATAGAAGTGAAGTCAAGTCATTTTCAGGATTAGTCAGCCTTGTATTTTAGTTTAGTTCTGATTACCTTTCATCACATGGGACCATATAAACATTCTTGGTACCAATGCCCAAAAATGCTGCAGATTTGACAATTGAGTAATGACTCTAGAATAGAAAAATCAATTATTAACATTCATTGCTGTTAAAGTGGATAATACATCTGAATCCAACATAATAACATTTACTCAGATAGTGCCCTTACATTCTGTGAAGTGAAGAGGACCAGACGCGGAGAGGCTGACATGCCAAGCTCCTTGATCTCGGGGCAGTAGTGAAATCTGGCCAGATTTATGGCATACATGTTGGACAGAGACCCACCTAGAACAGAAGAAGACCTTTGGATTACAAAACACAACAGATGCACATCTGTGTCATGTTAAAAGCACATTCACAACTTTTCTGGTGGAGGGTCTGCTACCTACTTGTCTCCATGGAGATATTATTGCTTGGCTTGGAATGTTCCATGGTATATCCATCTAGCATTTCTAAAGCTCAAAAATATAGTAAATCCTTCTGTGAATAGGGGTGACTCTCCACAGATCTGAATTGTACTGTAGTGTAGTGCTGTAACCTGCTTGGTATACAATATATAGTATAGGTTTAATCTATACTGAATGGAACATTCTAGACAAATCAATATTTCCATGGAGACAAGCAGGTGGCAGACCCTTAACTACATATATTACACAGTGCACTTAAATGTCTGTTGGTTGAAACACAGATGCTGTTACCTGCATTGAAAATCCCATCTCCATCTTCCCATCCAATCACTTCAATAATCTTCTTCAATACAACCTTCTCCATCACTGTGAAGACTGGGGCCACTTCATATGTGTATCTGCCAGGGATATGATCACATTAATAGTACGTACACTGTTTAATAATAATAATAATAATAATAATAATAATAATTTATTTATTTTATTTTATTTTATTTTTTTTCATGTTTCCTTACATGCTGGGTTTGAGGGCCTCTATGATGAAGCTGGCAGCCAGAGAGTAAGGCTCCAACCCGCAAAACAACTGGTTGAAGAAATGAGGGTGAACTATAGAAAAATAAGAAAAAAGAGGATGTTTCATTTATTTGTTGCATAAATATCAACCACACTCCATGATGTATGAAATGTTGTGTCAATGTTTGTGACTTAAAAACTATGTATGTACATTTATTTACCTTATACCAAGAACTACACCAACACAAATACTCTTGTAGAGTATTGAAGAGGAGAAATGTATTGATAAACATATTTCAATTCTTATAACAAACTGAATTAGAGCATATGTAAACTCTGACTGACCATTAAGAGAATAAAAAAATTGTGACCATGCTATATCAGATTAGTCATTAGTATTAGGTGTAATAATGCAATACCAGTCTTGACGCTGTACTTGATGACGTCCCTGCACCTCTGCAGAAGCTCCTCCTCGGACTCTCCTGTGTCTCCCAGATCCAGGTCCAGCAACTGCTGCAGCTGCTGTGGAGACACCCACTCACAAACCTGCACACCAGAGCATCAATAAGCCCATTACTACTACTATTTAACTTGAATAAGAATGGTCCAGACCATATCAGTACAAACAAAATGGATCACAATATTGTACCCTGAAATAGAGTTAAACTAAAGTGCCTGCACTTGCCTTCTCTGATCGGTTGGTGGCTCTCTTCACTGCCTCCTCCAGGATCAGAGCTGTACAGCGCTCTAGAAACCTCTCTGCTGAGCTCATGTCCACACTGGGTTGGTCCAGACGCAACTCTGAAGGTACCAGATTTGGTATTTCTGTCAAAGTTAAGGACAAAGTTTATTTATAAAGCATGTTTAAAATACAGTCAACACTCCTCAAAGTGCTGTACAAGAGTAATTACATGCAATAAATACAACTGTGTTATTAAGCAAGAAAATATGAGACCGACTGAATGCTCAAAGGGAGATTATTCCAAAGTTTGGGACCAGTGACTGCAAATGCCCTGTCCCTTGGTCTTAAGCCTGGAGAGAGGACAATTTAAAACCATCTGGTCACATGACCTCAGGGCTCTGACAGGAGCGTATAGCAGTTCAGACACACACAGCAGCCAGACCAGACTGCACCAGCCAGTGCAGGGAATCTGAGAGTCTTCTATAAAGAATAAGCAGTGCATATCAGATGTACAATTTAGCAGTATGTTATTAATCGTGTTGATTAGATTACTTTGCAAAAGTAATCTGATTACTGATTACTCCTTCTGTGGAGGAAAACCTTTTCCTTTTGTTTGTTAGTTTCTGCTTAGATTAAAAAAATTATAATAATAATACTTGAAACAGAAATAAAGTCCATATAATTTACTTATTCCAGTATTAGAAAGCCATACTTGTACAAGGAGTCTGTGCCGACATTCCCATGCAGAGACTCCATGTTTATGCAAGGCCTATACAATGAGTTTTATACACAACTATAGTGAGAGACTACCATGGTACCCTATCTGTAGTTCTTGTCCTATTTAGTTAGTTTGCTATTAGATAGATTGGAATATCACACATTTGTCTTGACATATATCTATGAGTCTCATAGCTGTGATCACAGCCCTTATCGTCAAATGAAGTGATTATGCAAAATAGCTAAGTCTAGTTATTTATCCTAACACTTCTAAAAGTAATCTAATTGCTACTCTGATTACTTTACACACTCACACACTGAGCAGATTTGGAAACTTTTTGTTTTTTGGGCTCAGTTTTTGACATCTAGTCGTGGAATTTTAACCAACTTGAAAGTGCAGAATGTGCAGTTCAAAGGACACAAGTAAGGGACTGTTGGATTTTGTGAAATGAGCTGGTTTTCCCCTATCCATGGAGACCATGCGAGAGGCTAGCTAGGGAGCTAGTGAAGGCGCTAGCTATGGACATTTGAGATTCTACAAGTTTGTTACACCATAAGTGGCAGCAAATGTGGCAGAGGAACTTCCAGAGGAAACACTTTGAGGAAATTGATTATTTCATCAGCAGTGGAAACAGCAGAGCGGAGTCAGAGGGGAATGCAAGATGGCAGCGCGCTTAGACGTAACGGCTGGGAGCTCCTGTTACTGGCACCACACTGTGCAGTTTGCTGTGATGCTCTGACATAATTTCGTTGTCATTTTATATGACAATGACGATAAAGCAATTGAAATTATTTCAAAAGTAATTTGATTACTGGTTACTATAAGTTGCTTTGAAATGGGGAAACATACAGCTCAGGAAATTTATAAAAAGCATAAATTCTTGACACTAATGACGCTATAAACTAATATTTGTGTTATTGCGGTTCACAGTATCTGACATCAGAAGACAAGGAAAGTAACTGTGATTTAATTAATTTCAATTGTAACTAATTATATTACTGCATTTTTTTTAAGTAATTTGATTACAGTAATCCCGTACTTTGTAACTAACAGATACCGCGCATGTTTATCATCATTTTCCCAAACATCTAAAAATAGGCTTTTTTTTAGACCATCAACCTCTGCGCTATGTAAATATGTGTCTATCTTGATAAATATAGATACAAAGATCTTTCTTTCTGTTATCTCCTCACACAGCAGTAATCTGTTTCTTCCCCTAAAGCTTTCAAATCTTGTCAAAGCCGCTGCCAAAATGTATCAGGTAAACGAAAACAAAAACAAAAAAACAAATATTTTATGATGCTGAGTTTTAAAGATGAGAACAAGAAATAGCTGGACTCCTTCATCCATCACCGTGCGCTGTTACTTGGCTACCATAAAACAAATAAATTGAAGTTGGCTTCATTCTTGGTTTTGATCAGATTATTCTGAAAACAACAGAATCAACGTAATGATTATATATTTGAAGTCATATATCTTAATTTGAAGCTACTCTTTCTTACATTACATTCTTAGGAATATTTTAATATTACCTTGTCCGTTAACAGTTGGTATAAGTGTCATTTTGTCCATCTTGTGCAATCCTTCTCCTCAAATGATGAATAAAATCCAGACCGGAAATAAGTTCAGACCTGAAATAAGTTTTTAAGGCCAAAACCTTAAAGCAGCGGAAACATAGATCTGGGCTTATATTTCGGAGGCACTTCTAGTGGGCGTGGCCATAAGCAACTGTGTCATTGGGTTGTCTGACTGCTCTCATGCTTTAACCTGAGAGGGCTCAGGACAATCGATTTAATCAAACCAAATCAAACTGCTTTGAACTTAAGAAATACGCGTTTTGTGTGCAGTATTAAATTGAAAAGAACCAAAAGTTGTGCAAAACCTGTTATTTGTGTTTTTGTATTGTGTTACATTAACAATTCACAGAAAACAGCACCGGATAATATTTATTTGCACTTGAAAAGTAAAAAAAAAATTGAAAAAGTGTGGCGACTGAGACATGTGTATCTTTTGTTTGAGAGATGTAAATGGTTTTATAATGTGATATTTTGTGATTTTATTGTTTTGTATTGATTGTGTTTCCTGCTACCTTGTCCGGGTCTCTTTAAAAACAGATTCTCAGTGGGACCTCCTGGTTAAATAAGGGTAAAATAAATTGTCAGTGTTTTGGGGGAAAATATGGTATCCTATACAACTAAATATTGTTAGACATTTAGTAGTAGTATGTATAAACAGTGTGATTATAAATCTCATTATTTATGATGAATGATTCTTCTAATAAAATTATTCATCTCTGTGGTTTGTCCTTGAGGTTCTTAAGACCTTTGCTTGGTCACACCTCAAATTTGCATACAGTTAAGATGAGTACTTTTCCATTTCATAAACAGGCATGCAGGCGCACTGCCCCCAGGTAATAAAAAAAACACCAAGCGCTCTCAGTGGCACAGAGACAAACGTGTTGATTAACAAAATAGAATTGCTGAAGAAGTTGAGGTTTGTTGTGCAATACGGACATTAAACATTCAGCAACTGTATTTTGTCTCAGTATAAATATTTATAAATGCATCTTTTTCATCAACACATGCAAAGAAATCAGACCACGTGTTCCCAACCCCAGACTTAACTGGGTGTGGTATAGTTGAATTGTAATTATTGTAATTACAATGTAATTACATTAACCCGACAATTCAATTACATTTTGGTTTCATTTGACCAGACTAGCAGATCAGCATTTAAAGTCTTGTCAGTTATTCAGCAATTTTTTCCCCCCACTTCTAGATTATAGTCTCAGCTGCTCACATGAACATTCTGAAGTTTCAAAACCTTGTTTTTCAGCTTTTACACCTTTCATTCCTGATGTGCTTAATACTTTTGTTTCCTTTGCCATTTCATATATATTGCATGTAAAATAATTTATGGATAGCGATGTTTCATTTCTTTGCAAGGATAAAATATGTCGCTACTAATATCTAAAAGGTCAGAAGGTAGACGTTTTGAATACAAAGTCCTACACTTTAGAATCAGCCCCTGTTCATGTTAAAGAGGCAGACACAGTCTCATTATACAACTTTTAATAGCATTATTATTCCATGTGTAGCAGTTTCTCTTCTAATGTGAATTCATGTGGTCTTCTGTGAATCAAATAGACACCAACATCATATATTAGCTTTGGTTATCAGATAAAAATATGTTAGAAAACAAAATCTTTCTATTGACACATTATAAAAAGACACAAGGTGAACTCCAACCTTCCTAAAGGCTTTGATAAAGTTTACACACAGGAAACCATGAACTTCAAGTTTTATTCTCCTGACACAAAGAAGGATTTGCACTGTCCCTTCACACTGCTATAACTTATGCATAAGTTAACCTACAGCCAACAGTTTTTAGTGCATGTCACCACACTAACCAATGATACACATGGTGATGCAAAACCAAGCAACAGGAAGTCTGAGGGTTGGGCGTGGGACATACGCTAACTGAGTATTTGTGAGGTGAAATTTTCGGACAGTTTAGTGCATTGTCTCTCTCCGTAAGTGCTGTGCGTTTCTCTGCGAAATCCTCTCAGGATACAGTGCATGTCAGTAAAATAAATATTGTGCAAAATGTAAATTATTTTAGTAGTTGAAATGACTATGTTTAAGAATGTATATTGCATTCATGGGTTTCAGAGTAATGAGGAACAAGGTCTGTTGCCATTGCAATTTTCAACACAAAAAATATTATTTGAGTGCTTCATAACAGGAAGAATCATGTGAATAACTCCCATGAATATAGTGAGTATACACATCTAGTTATTTAAAGTAATCATTGTGAATGATGAATGATGAGTTGGGATTTATTTAATTTTGCCAGGATTAAACTACTGAAATAAAATGTCTTTTTACAATATCACTTTATTGTCATGCGACTGTAATTCACTGTAGTCTTATTCGTTCTTCTTTCGAAAAGAAACCCTGTCTTTGGTTTCCTGGATTTTCTCAGAGAGCTTGTCCTTGGTCTCCTCCATCTTTTCAGAGAAGCGTTCTTTTGTTTCCTCCATTTTTTCAGAGAATCGCTCTTTAGTCTCCTCCATCTTCTCCGTCAGTCGCTCCTTGGTCTCTTCCATCCTGTCCTGGATGTACTCTGTGACCGGGGGAGGCGTGGTTATGTAGCCATGCTTTCTGAGATACTGCACAGAAAGGGACGTCCCACCCAGAGTCACTGTGTACCGAGCAGGAGTGGCAATCTAAAAGCAAATGGGACAGGACATTAGCACAGAGCATTAATATGATTTATTAATGTTGACTTTTTGATTTTCCATTTTATATTTTACATGCAGTGTATTTGGAAATCTCTAAAAAAAATACTACAAGAAAAGGCAACTGAAAAAGATACTAAGATAAGATAAGTTCAAGGTCAGTTATTAAGTCAAAAAAGTTGACAATTTTAGACCATTACTTTACAACGAACAACTAATTTGACATCACCCGTTATTTATGCAACGGCTTCATTTAGTGCTGTTTGGGGGTCTTTTTCTAACAATGAGTCAGCCAGTGCACACGTGCACAAACCACGCCCCTGCCTGATTAAGTCATTATGCTGCGTTAATATGCTATCAGAAGTAATAAAAGTTAAAACAGTGGGTGGAAATGAACAGGCAACCAAGCTGTGCTTTGGCCTACCTCCTCCAATCATGCCAAGTTTCAAGCGTGCTGCGCCTGGATACAATGCCTGCACTACTCATCAAGCCCACTGATCTTTAGAGGCATCACATGCTTGGGCATAGTTCTGTTGGGCTCAGAGTGAGTGTACCTTCAGCCACAGTGTTCTGAACCTTAATTACCTTGTACATTGCATATGCAGTTAATGCGTAGCCACTAGAAGAGTCTCTCAAAAGGCTGACAAGTGACTCTGGGAGCCCAATCATCTCCAAGAATGGCACAACATTCACACCTCTGAAAGAAAAACAAAAATCAAATTAAATCTGCAGTAATATTTTGTTAAATCCAATTCAATAAACAAACAAATATGCAAACAACAGACATGTGGGAAGTTTACTCATGATGGTCATTTAATGAGTAATCAATAAATATGTTCACATTTATATAACTCCTAATCATTTGTCTTACCACTTATAGGGCAAATATTCCTTGAATCAATTAAAATGAACTTCTTAACAGACATTCCCGACAGAAGGACAGGATAACTGTAACACTTACTTCATAGCAGCATAGTAGAAAGTTCCAAACCAGACGGATGATGTGACGAGATGAACAGGAATCATAACTTTGCCATATTGTTTGAAAGTTTTCTTAAATCTCTGAAACAGTCCCACAGACTTGTCCTGAAAAGGGTCTATGTCTGCTAACTGATCTGAGGCAGGAGAAGGGGAATCAGATTTGTCCGCAGGAGGTTTAGAAGGAGGAGCAGCTCTGGAGGAGGCAGAGGTGAGGATCCAGCGCTGGTTTGTGGTGAGACGGGACAGGTGAGGCACGCAGCAGCAAAGAACCATGGGAGGCTGTGGTAGAGAAGTTGCTTGAAGCACTGATCCAAGCCTTGTGGCCCTGCGCAGGCTTCGGACAGATATGAGGCACTGCAGCATCTTCTACTGTGTGCTGGGATTTCAACCACAGACTAAAAGCAAAAAAAAAAAAAAAAAAAAAAAAAAAACTGTGTTAATTGTAGTTAAAGGTAACACAACATCAAAGGCAGACACTCAAATAAGTCCAAAGTAGGGGAAAAGCAGGCTGAACGAAATTGCTATAGAATACTGTGTGAGATTGGTGGTATTCATGTATGGCTTTCCTTAAGACAGTTATTATTTTAAGTTAATTTCATTCATTGAGACTCTAAAACAGGCAACCTAATTTTAGGATCGATTACTGATTTTGTCCGAATGCATCTTGACACTATGATTGACTATATTCTGTTTAAACTTTACATGGGTGATATAGTAACTTATTGTGCAGATAAATTGGATGGGTAAATCTTTTGTTGAAGTCGTATTTAACCTGTGAGTCATCATTTATGCAGGTGTGACAGCAGCTCTAAGTCAACAGAATTCCTAAGTTTTAAAACTTGATTTAATCATCAACAGTATCACCATTAATAAGAAAAACAAAAACTCACTCCAACTTACTTTCACATAGCAGCAATACCATTACCTTTGAACGTATTGACCCAGACCAACACACCTTTATTTTATGTCATCTTATGTCTTTATGTCTGAACTCAAAAGGTGAGTTCATGGCCAGTATAAAGAAACACGGTTTATTGCTAGATTAGTACAAGTCTAGTGATAAACAGCTTACGAGCTGAAGTCATTACAGCCGTCTAAAGAAAACAAAAGCCCATGAGTTCAGGTTCTCTTTGCACGGTGATGGACAGGATGCTTACACGAGACTATTTTGGGATTGACATTGGTCAGTTTATTATGGAGGGCATTAACAGGACCCTGTAGCTGTAAAACTGGAGTTAACTGTTAGCACAAGGCACTAATAAGAAGCTAGTCTCCAGTAAAACAGGATAGTTGTCTCCTAGACTGCGTCAAACTGCTCCTTAAGGCCAAACTCTGAACCTCTGCCAACTTTGGTCATTGATGGCTGACATTAGCTTGTTAGCATACGGGCTATGCATGCTAACAGAGCAGCTAGTTCCGAGAGGCGAATATGTAGTCATTCTAGCTCAAATTTCTACTCAAATGACATACATAACATGGTACTTACGTGGGAAATTATACATCAAGGCATGGACAAAATCGTGGCTCTGGATCCCGAGGGCCATGTAAACCCAATAGGCAGCTCAGTGTCGCTCAAGGACCACATTTGACGCTGGTGCGGACTGCATGGAAAACCGCATGTACACATTTCGCGCTAAGGACGATGGGAAATGAAGTTTTTTTTAAAGGAGCACACTCATTCAGCATAAATTGAACAACAGCCAAAAGACTCACTACCCAGAAGGCCAAGCGATGTCAACTTTCAACAGAAATTTGGCATGTTTGTAACCGGTTGTAACCTGATAATACAACCTTGAATAGTGAGGGCAATTTTCCAGCTGTTTGTTCTTTAAACACCAAATTCTGACAATATCTGTGCAATGAAATGTGCAGATGTGTTAGACACCTGTTTATAGAGTTTGTTTATTTCACACATCGTGGGTCCATTAGACATTAGAGTAAACCTCCTATTCTCCCCAAAAGTTATAGCGTATTAGACGAAAATGTACCTTACGTTTTTGTGGTTAATTACATAGATAGCCCATAATGACCACAGCTCACTTGCAGAGGATAGATTTCGCCAGCAGATGGTGCTATAGACATACAATAAAAAAAACAACCTTAGCTATAACCATAGCCTGAAATACTTTATACTGTCTATGGATAAACCCTACTGATTGATCTAGTAGCTCTCAAACTTTTCACATCACACAACACAAGTAGGACTGAGATATGGATTTCTGAGTAACACCAGCTCTTAATCAAGTTAATGACAGGACTAGGTCTAATCTAGGGCTGAATGTCTATATATGGACTACATAATTTACACTGCGGTTCTAAACAAGAATTTATCCAGATAAAATGAACTCCCACATAGACTTAGTAAGAGCTGTTGAAGTACCACCTGATGGAGCACACATACTACAGTTTGAGAAACACTGGATTAACCAATTTTAATGTTAACCTGTAATGTCAATTTATGATTCCTTTAGGTCTGTGTGAAAAAGTATACAGAGAAATGTAATGTGACTAATAGTTTATCTTTTTTAAATAAGATAAACCTTAGCATAGCCTTGTAGATAGGCCTATATTTTACCAGCATAACAGTATACTACTGTATGTACACACAAAATATTACCTGAATCACTGCGTCTTATATAACTCTTGCTGTACATTGTGTTGATTTACATAAGCATTCTATGTAATGCTATGTAATCTATGTATGCTATCTTTTCAAATAAAATAGGCCATTCATTCACATTGTATTTACTAACAGGTCTTTCAATCCATCCAATAGGCTACAGTTGGAATTTCACGATTTTCAAGAAAGACCTGAAAAGCACTTCAAGGATTTGTCAGGGAATACACAACAGTTGATCCCCATTGTTGTAATACAAAAACCTACTTTAATTGTGCGAAAATACAGCATGTTTGAAGAACGTGGAAGCTTATTCACAGATAATGACTGCACCAAGGACGTATGCACCATTCACAATAGCATATTAAGTATCTTATATTGTCCAAGAGTTATGTGCTGCGGAATGAAAATAGGTACATGTCATAATTAAAGACTAGACTTAGACTTTGTAAACTTTATTGCTCCACAAGGCCGGTTATTTGGACACAGTGGCTTACACTTGACAAAATAATATAATAAAAAAAGAACAACAATATAAATAGTAATAATAAATAACAATATGTCAAATAAGGCTTAATTATTGCATATGTACAAGAAAAAAAATTGAAACTAAATATATCTAAGCAAGACAACAAGAACAATAACAACAGAGTAACAGTGCATTACTTAATACAAAATATTAATATTTTTGAAATAACTCAGAGCAGCTTTACAAGTGAATGCAATATTTATCCGTACCTCTGTTGCTCCACTCTGTGTCCTTGGACAGATATAAGCCTGCAGAGGTGAGGCTATCCAAACTGCACTGAATTAATAGTATTGAGGACTGAATTCCTATTAAAAACAAATGTATGATCTAACATTACGTGTATAGGTTAACTGATTCATTTAACCTAAGTCTACCCCATGCAGCATATGGAATGAATGAACAATGAAATGCAAAGCTGTTTGGGTGTCTTGTTTGGGTGCTATATAAATCCAATGCATTATTATAATTAAACAGTAAGCAGCCAATGGCTGTAAAACTACTACCGAATTATGATATTGTACAGGCAATATTGTAAAAACCATTCTGCTTCATTTGCATCCTGTCCATCTTGAACAGTGACTCATCCCACCTGAGGATAACAAAAACAGATCAATGGATCCTGGTGGGATTTGCCGATTTGTTGCTGTGTGCTACACTCTGTAGTGGCTGAAAATTCTTTGGTCTATGGGTGATGCAATTAAATGCAAACAATTAACTCTATGTTGTGGTGGCAACTGTGACGTATCATTACAATGTACGGACTTCGCTTATATTTTCCTTCTGGGATCGATAGCTCAGTCAATATACAGTGTCAATAGTATAATGGCAGTAGCTTAATTTGCAAACCCAAAGGTTGGCAGTCCTATATCTGCTATCAGCATTGCATATTCCCATTTTGTTTAGTATGATGTATGGGTTTGGATGGGTTTTTATGACCTCATGGGGACTGGCATCTGCATACACACTCAGTTCATGGGTCTGCCTCCCTTATGGAGACATCTGCAAAAGTTTTTAATCAAAAACATGATTTAAAGTTTTGATATGGGTTAAAAATAGTTTAGGGTTAGGCTCATTATATGGTGACGTTGGAAACAGCAATGAATGCATAATCAAATCTTCTTTATTTCTAGAAGACTAAACTGAATTGTCTTGTCTAAAGAAAAGGTTAAGGTCTGAAAGAAATTCACATATTGTGACTATTTAATTGAGTTGTTGCATATAATTGTAGACTACCTTAAATCAGAGTGGTCCCTTTTATTATGGTTATGCTTATGGGGATTACATTTTACATAACAGGTGTATTTTTGCATTTTTTACCACCCTCTCCATAGCTCAAAGCATCTGATTATACTTTTTGTCATCATTATGTGGCAATCCAGGAAGTCCATACACCTTGACTACTAAGTGTGGAAAATTATACAGTAATCTTACATTTTAAATCAGTTGCCATGGTGACAAGACATTTATAGGTGAGTTTGATGCACAAATAAACTATTGATGCTTTGCTGGGGGTGCTCTACATGTATATCTATTTATCTATATATCTATATATCTATCTATATTGAAATATAACCATGGTGATACAATGCACACATTAGAAAACACTGCTAAAAAGTTTAATTGATTTCTCTGAAAAGAAAGAACCTGCGATTGACACAAGCATTCATGGTCATGTTCAGTTATGTGTTTGATTTTCAGCAAGAAGGTGAGGTGAAAAACTGTTGGATAATGCCTCATGACTTGTAATAGCACAAATTATCTCATGTGTTGTTCCAGTTAGACCAGCTCTTCCTAGTCAGATTGTGTAAAAATAAAGCTCATATTAAGTAAGATGCAGTTCTTACAGTTAGCCTCACATCCCCATGTTGATGTATCAGTATAGCCGTTTGATGTACACGATGCTGTGTGTTAGAGGATGAAACTAACACAATTCCCATTCCATATGCTTACAATAACAATCAACCAAGACATTCAGTCTTTTCTTATATGAGCTGTAAAATATGAAACCCACTAGCATTTCTGAGTTCAAATAAATGCTCACCTGCAGGCATAAATCCAACACCAAAACTGTACTCACTTTGTATGTTTGAATCAGTGAGGGTGAAGGAAGGAGCAATGAATGTAGAAATGTACTCATGCATTTGTATAGTTGAATACTGTTTGAATGTATTTTGTGCATAATGTGTGTTAGTGTAGAAAAGCTCAAGCAGGGACAGTTGAAAACCAACTCTGGCTACACACTATGTGCCGCATTGCATCAGCTGCAGGCTTCGTTTTGTTACTGTGTCTGACTGCACTGTCCTTTTCAAATAAATAAAAAGAGAAAGAAAGGAAGGAAAGAAAGAAAAAAGAAATAGTTTTTAAAAAGATGAAATATGCAAAGTTCTAAACACTCAGATAAATTGTTTTTTATATCTGATCAAAATGACTAATACAAATCTGAAGATCAAATACAAATACAAATCTGAAATGGAAAAAAAAATAGTCAGATATGAATAAATGGAATATTATATGGACACAATCAGGCTTTGAAATAACTGAATATGACAGTGATGGAAATTATTTAGGCCTCAAAATGTTAAAATAAAATGTCTCTCCTTTGTCAAAGAGAATACGGTGCATGGTAATTGGTCTGGGGAGTGAGCATAGATGAAAGGAGATCATGAACTGTGGTCTTTGAGTCAGTCGATATGAATCTGTGAGTGACTCGACCACATTAGTACCTCCACACGACTTCAGTATCTACTCAGAAGGGACAAACACGGAAGATATTACAATTCTTAGTAATTGAGCCTACGCAGAAACCAAGACCCAGGTTATAATGAAAAAGACAACTGCAGAGATTGAATCAAGATTTTAATGCAGAAACATGCAGAGGAAAAATGTATTGCAATTTTGTGCATTAGATTGAATGTTTGTTCTCCCCGAAAGTTTGTGAAATCTCATTAATGACTATCAGATCAAGACCCAGGCTCTGTGAAATAGCATTGTAAGTGAATTTCGGATCACAATATGTCATTCAAAAGTAATAAGACTGTTCAAATTTTACTTACATATTACCAAATCATCCCATTAGAATTACATGGTTCTATCTTTTTGTTGAAACTTCATATTTTGAGTTACAGTATTTAAAATATCCATATTGTTCCTGAATACTTCCTGTATACTTTTATCAAGATTTTGTATGATTGAGTGAATTTTGTAAGTCCTTGTCCTTGTTCCATTGTGGTAAATGAGTCAGAACTTAAGATAAATATATCAGAAGTAAAGCAGATCTATAATAGGTTGTGCTCATTGACACGTAACACAACATTGTAGACTGACTATAATTTAAGACTAAGCAGGGAGGCAGGTCAGAATTCTATAGTTGAATGTATCATTTAACTGTTGCCCTGTCCTGGCTCCACTGCATGCGTCAGCGTGTAACCTCTCGAAACCACAACCGCAATCACAGGGTATGCTGCTCCATGCATATAGAGGAA